AATACAAAAAAATAGGTCTCCCATTTCTGTCTATCTGTGTATCTACTGTCTGCGTCAAAATTTATTACACAGATCGTCTCCGAAACTACTCGGCCGATTGTGGTCAAATTTTAGACGACAGTTACAAACAATTTGACGATTTATAAAATAACATAATCCTGTAATTGTGATTTATGATTCCGCCTTAAGTTTTTACCCTATGTATTAAAATTTTTGCAAAAAATAAAAAATCTATAACAACGTTCAGAACTCCTCCATGGCTCAGATGATTCGGCGCGTGCTAATAACGTGAAGGTCGTGAGTAGCAAGTTCGATCCCCATAGGGTACATTTTTGTTTCTCATACTGTAACTGGTATTATCTTTATATTTTTTCAAATTGTAGTAGTTACCATAAAATAAATAAAATTTCGCAAATCAATTTTCTTTTTACTAACTTTTCCAAGAAGATGGATTTGTTGGACTATTATGTACCTCAGGAACGAGGGAAGTTCTGCCTAAATAAACTTACCGTTAACTAAAATTTGTCTAATCATCAGCCCCAACAGTTTGATGACGCCAGTTTAACATTTTGCATAGTAAATACCATTTAAATTTTACGAAATATCATACTCCTGTACTTGTTATTTATGAATCCGCTTTGATTTTTTAGCACTTTACAAGAAAACTATATCTGGCGTACGCACGGTTAAGTGGTTAAGCGTTCTAACAGCGTGGATTCGAATTCCATCCTCGTCGACATTTTTTTTCTCACAATTGCCACATTTTCTCGACGTTTCGTGACCCCCCGTTTCCGTCTCTCTGTGTGTCTGTACCCATTTTTATTTTACACGTGGGTAGGTAGGCGGGGCTAGTGCCTGCTAAGATAAGGCTGATTTTGGCCAACGATATACCCTCTAAGAAAAGAAAGGGTGGGTGGGCGGGGCCAGTAACTGTAAGGATAAGACTGATTTTGGCAAATGGGATCCGTCTAAGAAAATAGAGGGCGGGTGGGCGGGGCTAGTACCTGCTAACATCAGTTCTATTTTAGCAACTACTAGCCCCGCCCACCCACCCTCTCTCTCCTTAGAGGATATGTTATTTGCCAAAATCGATCTTACTTTAGCAGGTACTAAACCCACCCACCCGCCTTCTTTCTTAGAGGGATATCATTAGCCAAAATCAGTTTTACCTTAACAGCTAGTAGCTAGGATAAGACTGATTTTGGCAAATGACATCATACCCTCTAAGAAAAGAAAGGGTGGGTGGGCGGGGCCAGTACCCTGCTAGGATAAGACTGATTTTGGGCAAATGGGATCTCTCTAAGAAAATAGCGGGCGAATGGGTACTTGTTAATCTAAGATCGATTTAGGCAAATGACATACCCTCTAAGAGACGGCGGGTGGGCGGGGCTAGTACCTGCTAAAATCAGTTTTATCTCAGTAGCCACTAGCCCCGCCCACACACCCTCTCTATTTTAGAGGGTATGTCATTTGCCAAAATCGATCTTACTTTAGCAGGTACTAACCCCACCCACCCGCCCTCTTTTTTCTCAGAGAGCTCTGATTAGCCAAAATCAGTCTTATCTTGGCAGCTACTAGCTAGGATAAGACTGATTTTGGCCAATGACATAAGAAAAGAGAGGGTGGGTGGGCGGGGCTAGTACCTGGTAAGATAAGACTGATTTTGGCAAATAACATACCCTCAAAGAAAGAGAGGGTGGGTGGGCGGGGCTAGTATCTGCTAGGACAAGACTGATTTTGGCAAATGGGTTCCCTCTGACAAAAAAGAGGGCGGGTTGGCGGTGTTAGTACTTGTTACTCTTAGATCAATTTTGGCAAATGTGATCCCTCGAAGAAAATAGAGGGCGGGTGGGCGGGGCTAGTACCTGCTAACATCGTTCTATTTTAGCAACTACTAGCCCCGCCCACCCACCCTCTCTTTCCTTAGAGGATATGTTATTTACCAAAATCGCTCTTATTTCAACAGGTACTAAACCCACCCACTCGCCTTCTTTCTTAGAGGAATATCATTAGCCAAAATCAATCTTACCTTAACAGGTACTAGCTAGGATGAGACTGATTTTGGCAAATGACATCATACCCTCTAAGAAAAGAGAGGGTGGGTGGGCGGGGCTAGTACCTGCTAGGACAAGACTGATTTTGGCACATAACATGCTCTCTAAGAAAAAGAGGGTGGGTGGGCGGGGCTAGTACCTGCTAGGATAAGACTGATTTTGGCAAATGACATACTCTCTATGAAAAGAGACGGCGGGTGGGCGGGGCTAGTACCTGCTAAAATCAGTTTTATCTTAGTAGCTTTTAGCCCCGCCCACCCACCCTCTTTTTTCTTAGAAGATATGTCATTTGCCAAAATTAGTTTTATCTTAGTAGCCACTAGCCCCGCCCACCCACCCTCTTTTTTTACGGGGTATGTCATTTGCCAAAATCGATCTTACTTTAGCAGGTACTAACCCCACCCACCCGCCCTCTTTTTTCTTAGAGAGATCTGATTAGCCAAAATCATTCTTATCTTAACAGCTACTAGCTAAGATAAGACTGATTTTGGCAAATGATATCATACCCTCTAAGAAAAGAGAGGGTGGGTGGGCGGGGCTAGTACCTGGTAGGATAAGACTGATTTTGGCAAATAACATACCCGCTAAGAAAGAGAGGGTGGGTGGGCGGGGCTAGTACCTGCTAGGACAAGACTGATTTTAGCAAATGGGTTCCCTCTGAGAAAATAGAGGGCGGGTTGGCGGTGTTTTGTTACTCTTAGATCAGTTTTGGCAAATGAAATACCGTCTAAAAAAAGAGGGCGGGTGGGTGGGGCTACTACCTGTTAAGACTGATTTTGGCAAATGACATATTCTTTAAGAAAATAGAAGGCGGGTGACTAGGGCTGTTAACAAAATTTCCAGGGGTTCCCAAAATGATACTCCATGGGTACCCAAGAGTCTCCCGAATTAAAAAAAAAAACACTGCGACACTCTTGAGTCCTGACTTTTTCAAATTCATAAAAAGTAAAACACTATAAGCTTAAAGATTTGTTCAAGTTCATCCAGCAACACCCGGTATAAAGGTTATCCGAAAACAAAAATTTTGTATAATTTTTCAAGGCGAGACTTAGTGCGCTGTACTTCAAGGGCGACAGAAGTTCTGTCGAAGTAACCTTGGACCAATTTTTTTAACTTACTGGGGTTACCATAAAATTAATAAAATTTTGGATTTGTTAGGCTGCATTTCAGGGTTCTGTCTAAATAATCTTGGATCAATTTTTTGAAAATACAAGTGTTCACAAAGAATACGGAACGCACCAATAATTTGATGACGTCAGTTCAACATTTTGCGTACACTTCTATACTTGTGATTTATGAGTCCGCCTTGATTTTTTATCACAATTACGTTACAAAAATGCTACGTCTGGATTACGCACGAAACAAGAACGCCGTGGCTGAGTGGTTAAGGCATTGAACTTGAGCTCTACCGGCGTGGATTCGAATGCTATCCCCGTCGACTTTTTTTTTTCTTACACTGTGACTGGTATTATCTACATTTTTTAACTTATAGGGGTTACCAGAAATTGAATACAATTTTTCGATAAATCTGGTTTTGTTGGACTAAATAATCTTAGATCAATTTTTTATACACGCAAAGGTTTAAAAGGAAAATTTTATGGTGAAATAGACAGAAGTATGGGTTTTGTTGTGGCATCAATAAAATTTAATATACAGAGTGTTAAAAAAATGGTCCAAGTTAAAAGTTTATTAAACTAAAAGAAAAAGTCACGATGGATTCATAAACCACAAGTGTAGGAGTTGCGATTTTACAAAATTTACATAACATTTACCAGAGAAAATTTCGAGGCGACCTCACCAAATTGTTGACAGAAACAACAAGCTTCTGAGAAAATCTATCTAATAAAATTCACACTGGTAAAATTTTAGCCTGTGTGAATTTTAGTGCAGTTCCATCAGACTGCTTGTGTGACAATTACGTAACATTAAAATATGTTACGAATACTACTGATATAACCTCAAAATTAATTATTATGGAGAAAGTACGAAGTAATAGTTAAATTAAGTTGCACTTTTCTTGTTGCATTTTCCGCAGTGTTGCCACAGAAATTCCCTAAAAACAAAATAAGGACACGGGGTAGATAAATTGTTTTTAAAGTTTTATGACTGCTACATAAAAATGACATTTGCCTATCGTCTATGGAAATTGTACTTCTCTGACGTCATTGATGTAATTGCATACACCAAACTCAAATAATTTTAACGATTTGAAAGCAAAACAAATTTATACTAGAATCGTTTTATCGTTTTAACCACCTAATTATAATAATTTATTGTGAGTGTTTATTTCGAAAAAAAAACTTCTCTGGATATCACCATACTGTTCTCATTAAAAAAATATTGCTTAACACTTCAATAATTAAGTTAAGTGTTTGCTCTTTGCAGTTTTTCTATTTTTAACTTTTTATCACTTTTTATCGGAATGGTGCATAAATGTGTATAAACTCGACTCTGCACAACTACAAAACTTTCATAAATCACGAAGCATTGTTACGGAGAAACTCGCAACAGAAAGTACAATAAAATTATTTATAAATACTGCCTCCTCAATTAAGAAAAATATAGTCTAAATTTAGTTCGTCTTTGACTCGCTACTTCTACCGCAAAAAACCGAATTCCAAACGTTCCTCGACGCTTTGATTTTCCGCTAACAAAGCCTTGCATTAATTTTTGCGAACCCGGTTTAGCGGAAAGCGAACAATAAACGCGATTTATTTGATTCTTTAAAATCAATGGTCTTTTAAACAGACCGGAGGGCATTTCTGTTTATATTGCTCTATCTATCCTCACCACAATGAAATAATTTATGAAATACGCTCCTTTTGGCGTTTTAGCAGCCATCGATTGCACGAAATAATAAAATCGTGGCTTTAATAACACAAAACGGGTAAAGTGTAGAAATACCCGCCATTTGTTACCACGGTGTCAGGTACTGAATTTACTTACATCGCGGCATTGTTCAACCGACGATAAATCCAAGATTGATTTTTCGTGGAAAAAGGATTTCCACCACTTTGAGTGACAAAATATACTTTTTTCCTGAGTTAAATCCGTCTTCTGTGACGTCATCCTTTTCACAGTACTATATGTAAATTGCGAATTCTGACCATTCCCAACAAAACTTTTTGTGCCAGTGGTTTTAACAATGACCCAATTGACCGTGTATGTTTAACATCTTACTACCTTTTTTAAAAAATCCCAAGGTCGTTTTATTTCCGCACTTAACAAGACTTCACTCGTGTTCACTGAATTAGACACAACAAGCTTTTCACAATACCTTAGTTGCATTATAAATACTAAAATTAGTTTCTTTGTTATGTTAAATGCTGGTAAATAACAACGATTACAGTTGACAAGTTCAGATAAATTGTCGGTGAATGGCAGATATATGATAAGATGATTTTACAAACACGTTAATAACAACCATTAATTAAAAAATAATTAATTAAGTAAGACGCAGAATTAAATTATATTCTAAACGAGAAATTAAAATTATTGATTACTGTACCAACGTAAGGTGCGGCAGCCTTAATGTATAGTTTCGGTTTCAAAATTCTTAAGCAGCACTCACACGTCATGCTTGAACATCGCATTTAAATTTCGATGTAAATTACACGAATTACGAACCTAATTATGCATGCACTTTCGGTAAATGAAAATGCACTGAAATAATTACTAAAATTATAAATTATACATATATTAATAATAACTTGTTTTTAAACTTAAATTTTACAGCCGACAGATAAATTAAATCGTTATTTTTTAAATTGCAAAGTAATTTAATGTGTAAATGAGCGTTTTGAAAATAAATTTCATTTATCGCTAACCTTGACATATAAATCACTAAGTAAGTACCTTCGTAAATTTAAAGTATTATGTTAAAAAAAATTGAAATAAGGTAGCGCTTTGCGGGTTATACGATATTATATAGATTATACATAAATTAGATTAAATTTTACACGTTTATTTTAGCGATTTGTGAAAAACTAATCCTATACAAACACAGTTTGATCCTTCCTCTTTCCAAGTCGTGAACTAGTTTCAAGGAACGATCTACAATAAAACGGCAATTCGTTTTTTCCGTAGGTACTGCAAACAGTTATTTTAGCATGGATTTTTATAGAGGCGCTATTTTTAGCTTGTTTCAGCGCAACAACAACCTGAGTGTTGTATAATAGGTCCAAACAAACACGATAGTTTAATAAATTTCAAAGCAAACGGGTCAGTAGTTTCAAAAGTTACATTTTCGTGTACACTAACGACAATAATTTTGTGACATTTTTTTAAAAATAAAAAATACATGTTTATTTCATCGTTTCACCTTGCATAAATTTAAAAAAATTAAAGTACGTTTTTTGCAGTTTGCGTAAACGGTAGAAAAGTAATAAGACTTGTAATTATTTTAATTATTGTTGGTTGTCTACATTATAAAAAGTTATACTATTAGCAGGAACGTCTTGTTTTTATTTCTCACCTGTCAATTATATTTAATACTAATCGTGCACACAAATTACCCGTTAGCAAAGTTCATTTTCAAACTCGCTTGAAATTTCATATAAATCGTGGAAAAGAAAAAGTGTGAAATGTTTGCAGAGATTTAATTAACTTGGGGCGTTCACTATTTATTAAATTTAAAATAAATTAGATCTGGATCTCGCGCTCGGTCGTGCTGAAGGAGCTTTAGGATGAAATCCGGTCAATAAATAAACGTTTTACGATGTTATTATTTACTATATAAAGTTTAAGTATCTTCAAGAGGCTTCAAGTGGCGGATCTTAATTTTACCAGAAGTTTAAAAATAAACTATAATCTGTGTAAATTCTGAATTGCCGCTAATAAACACCGAATACCTAATTAAACCCATACGTTGATCAAAATTTAAACCACTCGTCAAATAATTCGAAAGTTCCATATCTATACGGAATACTGATTCGCGAACGTGTTCAGATTAAACGGCGCGCTTTGTACCTAACAGGATGTTACTATTAGTTTTAGGAACTCGAGGTAATTCAGGAATAAATAAATATTTAGACGCGTTTTCAAAGGGAGTATAAATTTCGCAAAGCCATAATTAAGCTCATCGTGACTTCAGAACTAGTCAAAATTTCGCAACTCTGACGAAATGTCGCTAATTATTTTATTGTAACCTTTACTCATTACTGGTCTATTTATTACAAAATCCGACAAGGTGAACGCAAAAAAGTACAAAAAAATGCAGAACGAGTGCAACGATTTTGAATATAGCCGGCGTTCTACCGTCATTAGACCGATCCCTTGACATATAAAGACGCGCAATCACTACAATAACCTAGCGCGCTAATTAAGAGTGTCACAATGAATCGTTAAATAATTACCGTTATTAGCGAAAAGGTGCCCAGATTACCAAAACGCTTCATGACCGTGTTTCTTCGCTGAAAAAAGTGCACTAAAAATAATAATAACGATAATAATAAAGCAAGAAAACTTTCCCTATACTCAGTACTCTTTCTGGAATACACTATAACACTGAGGCACTATAGAAATGGCGTCCTTTATATTATATATAACAAGTTCGTTTAATAACTGCAATTTGTTTTTTTATACAGCGTAACCGAATATTTATATCACTAAATTACCTGCAGTTCTCAATCAAGTCTAACATAAAACGACCTCTACAATAATTAACGTGCGTTGATATGCACCAGAAACTAGTCTATACTTTTTAAAATCGTTTGTCAGGAAGTCGGAACATGTCTTCCCTGGACCCAATCAATTCAAGTTTTAACTCCTTTCTTTTCGTATTATAGAACACGTGTACGACGCGCGCCGAAATAAGATTTCGAGTTCGACACCGACACCGACACCAGTCTGAACCGAGTCTGAACACAGGTATGTAGCGCCGCGCTATAGAAAGAGAGAAATAAACTGCGTAGACGTGTTTAATTTATATAAATTGATAACGCAGAGTTAAAACTCCATCCGTGCATCCCTGGGTCGACGCACTCTTTTTTGTATTATTTTAAAGTGTTTCTGAATTTACCACGAGTTCTCTAAACTTGTAAACTCCCAGTTTGAAAAAACTTTAGTACCGCTGTGTAATTACGCACGGGGTCGGTAATAAACGTGGAAATCGAACCAGTTCCAGTTTTAAATTACGAGCCCTAACACGTTTCCGAAGCAGGTAAAACTGTGAAATTCCAGGCGTTTTTTTAAATTCGTTGATTTCGCACAACCAGCACATGTACTGAGTTTTTCACACAAATTAACATCTCGTCGTTCCGAAGCGCTGACTGACACGAAATCGATACCAATGATACACGTGAATTTAAAATTCATTTTGCCGACTGATGGGTGAACTTATCGACGGAAAATTCGTGCTCCCGTTTTTTCTCTCGAGAATCCAGGTGCAGCCAGAACTGTGCCAGATGCACGAGGTGTGGTTCTAGGAAACCGGCAAACTGTGTTTCGTCAGTGTTGCATTCGTGCTGCGATATGGGGATTTGTAGTGAGAGTTTCCGGCCTCCGGTTCGACATGGCTAAAATCATCAGCACCCTCCTGCTGTGATAGCTTGGGTTATAATGACCGTTTTGTGAAATCTGTAGCTGTCAGAGATACATAAATCAGCTAAATAATTAAATCTTCAACTGGAACTAACTCCGAACAAGATAAACACGGAGTCTGAGAGGACTTTGTGATTTACTGATTTTCTTTCAATAGAGCTTATTGTAGCTTCAAATCTTGATTGTTCAGACGTCAAAACAGTACACAGAATACTCATAGATCTGATTTTTTTACAGAAAATCGTTTTCGCAAGATTTCTCTAGAACGAAAGAACGAAAGAAAACCGGAGAATGTTCAGCAAACACCGTCCTAAAAAATATATGAAATTATATTAAAAACGAACGTTTTGCTTTATTCTGGTCGCTTAAACCCTAATCTTATGCAAGCAGCATAATCTCTTCCGTTTAAGCTAACTTTTCGGATTAATATTTACAAGAACGTTCCATCCTTGTGGATTGTAGGGAACATTCTTCGGTCCGTAAAGGCGACGAATATCAAGCAAGAACAAAGCAGAATTTATTACCGAATTGCTTTCTATTACCATCCCTGCGTTCGGTATACGTTTTTAATATCTTCACATTATTGTAAGGACGTACAGCCATTCAAAACTGACATCATATGAATAAACCATTATTCGTAGTAAACCCCGGCGGATTACTCGACGTTCCTTGAATGAATAGAGAAAAATGATTTCATGTGTCTACCCACTTTTTATTGGGGATACAAGTGTTATTAAACGCGAGATTTATTAGATGCCGGAAGCTGGACTCGACGAGAAAATGAATATGATTTTAAAAAGTTTTTGCGTAACGCGCCGAACGATCAGATTAATCTGGGCCAAGTTTTTGCCCTTTCGGAAAACAAAAATGTCAAGACGTGTATCCGCGACGCGCTTTTATTAATTATTGGTAAAATATCGCTAGAAATGTGTGCGCGATAAATCGTCTGCCCGGGTTTAATAATAGCAGGTCGAAATTTTCCATCGTTGCCCATCTAAACTAATCACAAATTTAATTTAATAAAAAAATTGGCCGAAAATTGTTTCGAATTGAGATTTTCTTTACACAATTTTGTGATGACAATTTTTTAGGGGGGAATGAGCAATACATTCAGATCAATTTTTTTTTTTTTTTTCAAAAATCTGGACGTTTCTGGTAAAAACTCAATTCGGAATCATAAACTACATGTATAGGACTATGTTATTTTATACAATTTAAAACTCATTTACTATGTACAATTTTGAAGTGACGTCATCACATTATCGGTGGGGATGATTAGACGCATTTTGGTTAGCGTTTTACAATCTACATGATATTCGTAATATAAATACAAAATTTCACAACAATCGGTCCAGTACTTTCGGAGATAATCTGTCTAATAAAAATCCGGGACGGCAGACAGACGGACAGACGGACAGACAGACGAAAACGGGAGACCTATGTTTTCGTACTCTAGGGGTCACGAAAGGTTGAGAAAACGTAAAAGTAAACGTAAATCAGACTCGATTACAATACTTCCTTTCCTTACGCTCGGGAAGTAAAAATGTAGCGACAAGACAAATATTTCTAGAAACGATTATTAACGGGTTTAATTAACTTTACACAC